ACTAAACAAAATGAATATGTTCTTTCGATAGCCGGCTATCGAGAGATTAAATAAACAACAAATAAACAATGCATACTTTTGGTTGCATCGCCAACTTGAGGTGAATCCTAACCGAATACCCTACCCAACCCTCCAACTCCGTAGCACTTATGAGGGTGTCGCTAAGTCGGTGGCCTCTCGCTAAGTAAGTACTACATCAACATTTCCTTCCCTATCCCTAGTAAAGATGGGCGTGGCCGGGAATAGCGACAGTCATGCTTCTGTTACTCTTGTTTAGATTGGAACCAATGTTTACTCCTCAGCATTATTCCTGAAAGTAGTCTAACTGGGAATTTCAGAAGAGACGTGAGTGTCGCTAGTATCCAATCTACGAAGTATATCATAATAACGCTAACACTAACGCAAGCAAGCAAGTGGATGTCAGTGACAAGCATTATTGAGGTTCCTCGATTAAGAAGGAGCAAAAGGCGAATCAAGTTCAACGATCGAAATCTCCGTTGTGTTTTCTAGCACGAAACAGTGAAGCATCCGATAAAGCTGTTCCTGCGGGGGCGTCTAGTTCGGTAACCGGTGGACAGATCGAGTTTTGGTATGTCGACAGACGCACAGCAAAGCATTTTTCACTTCGCTCAACTAAAAGGAAAGGGTTCCTGTTACGTTGGCCAACGGTGAAAGGACGATGTCGGAAGGCTGTGGTAGTGGATTGCTCCGTTGCATTGACGGCAATGGAAGGTCTGTTGAGGTGCAACTGGAGAAAGTCTCAAGAAATCAAAGATACCTTTGGACCCCGGATACTACAAGAATACGGCAGATTCCGATGTTTTGCTGGACAATGAGGAGTACCAGTCGCTTGTTGGTGCTCTTCTATATATTTCGACAAATACAAGGCCCGACATTACAGCAAGTGTATCCATCCTGAGTTGAAAAATAAAGAATCCGACGAAGGTTGACTGGACGGAATTGAAGCGTATTGTACGCTACTTGTCTGGGACAGCGAATTACAGTCTTATGCTGGGGTCGACCAACGGACTGGTATTGGAAGGATACAGCGACGCTGATTGGGCGAGTGATACAAGCGACCGTAAGTCAAATAGCGGATTCGTTTTCAAGCTTGGAAATGGCGTAATCAGCTGGGCAGCGTAAGCAGTCTTGTGTCTCGACTTCGACTATGGAGGGAGAATACGTCGCCTTAGCTGAAGCAGTTCACGAATCGGTTTGGCTACGAAGATTGGTAGCAGAGGTGAACGAACAGTATACGGATCCTACAACCATATGGGAGGACAATCGGAGCTGTATGGATTTCACGTGCCTGGAGCGACAAAATCGCCGCTCTAAACACATTGACACTAAATGTCACTACACCAAGCACCTTGTTGCATCTGGCACGCTGGAACTCAACTACTGTGCAATGGAAGACATGTTGGCTGACATCATGACAAAGCCTTTGGCCGCAAATAAACAACAGAAGTTTGTCAACATGCTGGGGCTGACTCTGACGACACGGAAGGAGAAGAATAAGCAGTCACGTTGAACATCAATGAGGAGTGTTGACGACGCTACTGTCTGCGGATGATGTACTCCGTGAGGTAATACTGGCAGCACTTTCGCAGATCATAATAAAATCAAACCTATCTTTTGTTAGTCCATGTACAATAAAACAGAGTACAGAAGCATAGTTTCTTGTGTGTTCATAATTCGGTTTATTCACGGTATCTGAACATTCCCACTGCCCATTACGCCAATAATCGCTGCTTGTCGTTGCTTGACTCAACGTCCCTCGTGACCGTCGACGGGGCAGTAACTCATCTGATTTTGAGTGTTAGCAAGCGGAGGCTAACCCACCAGACCACACAAGACCCTCACCTCCAAAGCTTCGGCTACTGCTCGCCCTTCGCGTGTGGTGCCGCAATGATGCAACACTAAGCAAGCACCAGCACGAGACTCGCCGACTCGGGACCTTATAATGACTACCTTGACCGCGTTGGGTTCTTCGATCCGGGCCCAAATTTGCCGCCTAGTGCCGAGTCCTCCGACTCTTTGTCCATTGTTTTTCATCCGGGATGCTTTCCGACGTCCCTCTTATTGGGAGCCAGCACCCTCACCTCCAAAACTGAGGTTACTGCTCGCCGGTCGCGTGTGGCCCAGCAATGGCTCGACTACCTGTCCCATGGTAGTTTTTAACATCTCGTCGGTCACCACTTTTGTGCACAGGAAACATGTAGGATAGTTTTCAGCTCATGGAAAATTCACCTCGCTCAAACGAACGGTTGAAAATGATGGCTAGCGACTCAGCTCCTGGCCAGGAGCAACTAAATTCTTCAACTTTTTTGAAGCATCGATGATCATTGCAGATGATATTTCGAACGTGTCTAAACTAACTGCATCATTTGACGGACGGTGACACTGGTTCGAAGATGAATGCAAAATTGCATGCTTCTTCTTCACTATTGGACTTTTTGCCATCATACATTAAGCAAAAAAAGTTTATCCACCCCCCTACAAATTTACATTTTTTTTTGTTTTTCTGGTGAAAATCAGTTTAATTTTATGAGTGTTCCAGCATGATTTATCAATTTATCTTTATTTATCACATTGCCGTTGAAAATACGGCGTTTATATCTTTTCTTGAGATTTCATGTGATAAATAATGAAAAAGGGTAAAAAATTACGTAAAAAAAGTTTATCCACCCCCAAACGGATACTATGATTTAAGTGTGTCTTACAGAGTTTTAGTGTGTATTCTGCAACTTTCTTGAATGGAAAAAAATGTGTCTAGCTGTTATTTAGTGTTCTTGAAGTTTTCGTGCTCAAAACTTCAGTTTTGCATTTTCACCAGCAAGCTTTGATCTCCTAAACAACTTTGCCGAAGACATTAATGTTCTAGCTGTTCGGGATCTCGAGCTGTAGCATATATGAGGATTGCACGTGTATACTAGCGCAGCGCAGTGAGAAAATTCTGAGCTACTGTTCATCATCCAAAAGATCTTGACCTCCTGAACAACTTTGTTCAAGACAGTAACTTTCTATCTGGTCTGGTCTCGAGATATATCACAGGCGAGAATTTCACATTTCACTAGCGCTAGTAGTGAGAAAATTTTGAACAACTGTCCACAAGCAAAAATTTTGTGATATCCTGAACAACTTTGCCGACGACAGTAATTTTCTTTATGGTCAAGAACTTGAGATATTTTATATGGGAGAATTTCACATGTATACTAGCACATGAAGTGAAAAAAATCTGAACTACTGTCCACCAGTCAGAAGACCTTGACCTCTTGAACAGCTCTGTCGTAGACAATAACTTTCTATCTAATCAGGATCTCGAGATATAGCATATGCGAGAAGTGTACATGTATACTAACGCCACGTGGTGAGAAAATTCTTAACTACTGTTTACCAGCCAAAAAGTCTTGACCCCCTGAGCAACTTTGCCGAAGACAGCAACTTTCTAGCTGATCAAGATCTCGAGCTATTGAATATGCGAGAAAGGCACGTATTTCACCGCCGCATAGTGAGAAAATCCTGAACTATTGTCACCCAACAAAAAGATCTTGACTTCCTGAAAAACTTTGTCGAATACATCTGTTCAGGTTCTAGAGATATTTTATATGCAAGGGTTTCATATGTATAGTAGCGCCGCAAAGTGAGAAAACTCTGAACTACTGGCCACCTGCGAAAAAGCCTAGACCTCCTGAACAACTATGCCGAAGACAGTACCTTTCTATCTGGTTGAGAACTCGAGATATTTTATATGAGAATTTCACAAGAATACTAGCGCTACGTAGTGAGAAAATTCTGAACTATTGAGCGCCAAGCAATAGACGTTGACCTCCTGAAAAACTTTGTCAAAGACAGTAACTTTCTATCTGGTCAGGATCTCGATATGTTCCATGTTGTAATCAATTAAGTCAAATCCCACGTAATATGGTCACAGTTTACGCGGTTTCTATTTACATTTTCTCTATTATCCGCATTTTTTAGGTGTTTACTGTAATCAATGTTTAGCTTTTATAGATCAAAACCAGGCTTGCTTCCACTCACATGCTATAAAAACACGATTTTCTGAGTTTTGAAAATATTAGATGTAATAATAATATGTTGTACTTGTGAGATATAAGAAAAGGTTGAAATGCAAGTGTTTGACACATGAAACCTGTCAAATTTGATGTCAGATAGTCACAATCAGCGATTTTACGACTCGCGAGTGTTCACTCTGAGTGAACGCTCACGAACCATAAAATCGCTTATTGTAAAACTATGGTAGCGAAATTGACATGTTTTATGAGTCAAACACTTGCCTTTCATCCTCTTCTTGTATCTAACAAGTACAAAATATCATTATAACATCGAATGATTTCAAAATTCAGAAAATAATTTTTATATAGCAAGTGAGTGGAAGCAACCCTGATCAAAACAAGTTTTTTGAGGAATACTCGTTGGTTTCAGATCGATTGGTAACTCAGCAACAAAATGGCAATGGAAAACTCATGTGTGTTGTACAAAGTACAACAGCACGAGTAACGGAGGGTCAAGGCAAAGGGAGAAAGATTTGAACTGCACTAAGTCAAGAAAATTGTTATAGATATAACAAACAGGAAATAGGCTGAAAATAAAAATGTCATACCAGCTTCTCATTTTTATGACCATATACTTTACTGACAAGAACTACCGCTCACCATGTAAGATTTATTTAATATATTTCAATACATTACAATCATGGACTCTCGTTCAAGGCACACATATGATAATTCAGCGAGTAACCATCTCTCAATTTACCATAACAGCACTGAACTTAACCAGAGATTTTTTGCCATAGAAAATCTCATTCATCGCACGCTTATCATTCAAGAGCTGGTGCTTTTCAATTGAAAAACTTTAGAAAATTATTTTATTTATACGCTTGTGATACTCAAGTACCATTCCTCATAACGACTTACTTAGTTTAGAAGTAGTATAACAAGATGATCTCAAGACGTTCATTTCAAGTACATTCCAGCACTTCAATTGCGTGACTCAATCCGAATAGGAATGCCCCTCTCCGGTCTCAATACCAAATCGGTCCGCAACTTGACATCCCACGTCGATTCACCGGGCAACACTCGAAAGTTTACAATCAACCGAGCAACGGTCATCTTCAGCTGCATCAGGCCGTACTTCTGCCCAATACAGTTTCTCGATCCGATACTGAATGGAATATAGTCGTACGGTCCACGCATATTTTCCGAATCTTCTGCAAATCGTTCCGGGTTGAATCGCTCTGGGTCTGGATAGACCTTAGGATTTCGATGGACCATGTATATTGGAATGGATACGTCCTGTCCAGCTGGTACGACAGCTCCATTGATTTCTGTGTCTTCTGTCAGCTTACGACCAACGTAGGATATTGGGGGTAGAAGACGCAGGGATTCCTTCACCACCAAGTCGAGATATTTAAAGTCCTGAATGTTACTATAAGCCAAGGTTCGACCGGTTCCGCAGTTCTGATGTTTCAAAATGGATTCGATTTCTTGATAAAGTTTCTCTTGAATGTCTTGATGTTTTGCTAGTTGCAGAATGGTGAACGATATCGCAGATGAAGTCGTATCGTGACCACCAAACATAAACGTATCAACTTCTTCGCGAATATCCTCATTTGATAGCGGCTTACCTTCGACGGTCATACTGAGCAAAAGATCCAGGAATGTTTGCTTCTTCTTTGTAGTCGTATCGTTTTCGATCGATCGCTTTTCATTCCCATTCACCAACTGCTGACGACGATTCCAAATCACAGAATCAGTAAACTGATGTAACCGGCGAACCAAGTGGCGTTGCTCCCAAGCATTCGGATGCAGATACCAATACAGGGTGGGAAATGTTCTCAGCAGACTGAATATTCGCAACAGAATCAACTCGGTCATTCTATTCACATCTCTTACGTACTGATTCTCCGGGTCGTTCTGGGCATTTACCTGAACTCCCATAGCCGTCTCGCAGATGCTATCCAACGTGTACAACGAAATGTAGTCATAAATATCAAACTCGCCGCCACCGTCGTGCACTTTCAGCTTCTCAACCAAAACATCCACTCCTCGATTGAACACTTCCACAAAGCCCTCCAGAATTTTAAAGTGAAACGTCGGCGTTATGATTTTCCTACGATGAAACCACTTCTTTCCAGATGAGGTCAGCAAACCCTTACCGAGCCAGGGTTCGATGAAGCTGTACATCGTCGATTTTTGGATGATTTTCGTGTTTAGGACCTTCTCTACGTTCTTTGTGCTGCTCAAGTTCAGCATCACGTCGTTTCCAATTCCCCAGGTAACGATGTCCGGTCCGTATTCGTAGTGGAACCGAAGCATTCGTCTGAAGATACCACCGATGTCCTTAGGGAATTTGAGGACATTGCCGATGGCGAAAACCGGTTTTGGACCGGGAAAATGATTGGCGAATTGCTGCAAGTTTCTTCGCCGTACAAACAGCCGAATTAGGCCTATCGCTAGGAGAGCGAGCAATACTGTGATGTTCAACATGTTGATTCGTGGACGTTCTAAAGCGTACTAACTAGACAAATTTTGATTCTTTTGAAGTTTAACATTCCAACAGAAGCGTAAATTTCAGTCACTAGAGAAAAGGTTGAGCATAATAGGTTGCCAAGTACCTTTGGATGTTCAAGTGGTACAAAGCACTTGAAGCACTTTATTATCAGCTGTTACGAACTGTAGTGCTTCTAAAACCGATAGATACCTGTTTCGGTGTGTCTTGGTCATAGGCAGTAGCTCGGTTTATGCTACCTGTCATCGTCGCCGTTGGAGAGTAAACATTTACTTCCTCAGAAGGCGCACCCTTTTGTCAGTCAAAATTGGATTCATTAGCAACAAAATTGAGGAATTACATCGATAATGACCATGCATCGGAACCCTAATCTTAACCACTTCAAACTAGGGAAAAACGAATAGAAGATTAGGTATCACATAGATGAAGATTAACTAACTCATTTTTCCCTTGTTTCAAGATCATCCTCGGTGGAAAAAGCCGAGTCTTGTCACTATCAACAAGGCAAGGCAAGTAACAAGGACTAAGATGTGTTCATTTGATCAAGCTTGCAAATGCTCATTACAGCAACTATGAAATATTTTAATGGTCATTCTTATTGACAAGATGCAAGAAGAGAAGGTAAAGTATTTGTATGATACATAAAACAAGTTTATTTAGCTTTCAGAGGGTCATAATAGCGATTAGCTATAAGGATGAGCAACGCGATGAGCGAGCAATCAGAGATCATAAAATCGCTAGTTGTGACCTTCTGAAAGCAAAATTGATATTGTGTATGTCAAACACAAACTTTACCACCCATCTTGCTTCTTACAAATAAAAATTATTATTATAGTAGCTCATAGTTTCATAATTCCAAAAATTAGCATTTTAGCTGTAATGAGCAATTGCAAGTCTGCATTTGATTACTGAAAAATCCTGTTCCCCAAGCTTAATAACCTCTTATTGTCCTCAACATGTCACTGTATGAAGGGTCAAAAACGGGTTTGGTGGATCGATAGGTAAATTCACCTATACACCTCCACGGGATGATAGAGAATCTCCTTCCGACAGAAAGGATACCAACCAGTGGAAACTAACGGTTTTAAATTGGCTCACTACTTGACTAGCCTATTGGTCCCAAGCAAATCGTTTAACGTACCCATTCTAATCGAAATTCTAGTAGGGTTAACTATCCCATTTCCGGCCTTTTAATTACTCATGGCTTCCAAATTTATTTACCTTTCCGTACGTACCGTAAGATTTACTAAAAAGAAACCAATCGTTGAGATATTGTCAAAAGTCTAACACTGCTTCTTGACGCCAAACTCGGCCTACGGATTCTAAACTCGGCCTAACGCACACAGTTCGAAAAAGTAGTGTAAATTTCTGTTCAATATGATGCACATAAATGGAACGTCACATATCATATAAGTTTACATTATAAATCATGTAAAGTTCTGAGACATTTCATGCAATGTAGCAAATATTGTATACAAAAACCCATCTTTGTAAACAAGATTGTTTACAAGTTGCTCGGTTGCATGAAATGAAATACAAGTTTACGTGAATGAATGTTTACATCACAATTAAAATTCAGAATTTTTATCTGTGAACGCCTACAAAAACTCAATACGTTATTTTGCGGAAATCTTTTGTTGAAAAAAGTGAATTCACGAAATGAATGCAAATGATTTTCCATGCCTGCTTCGGCCTATCGGATGAAGATAAAAATTGATTCGTTCGGAGCGCTTCTCTTGTTTTTGGAAATAATGGGTGAAAACTTTCATATCACGCGTTCTCATTGACTTCGTTCGGTAGCTTATTAACTAAAGTATCGTACTAAACGCACAATTGACTTGTTAACTCTGAAATCATAGATTTATTTGAAGTTTTCTGCTCGATAGGCCCAAAATGGGCGATTAGGCCGAACTAGTTCTCTACCCTACTACACTATGTTTGTTTTTATTCGCTATGAAAGTTTGACAGATACAATGAGGGGCTCGTGGATTTTCGATGCATCGATTAGCTTGGGACAGAAGATAGCCAAAAACGTTGAGCTCGTTTCTTCGGGACCTTCTGGTCTTAGAGTTACCTCTATGAGGATACCCCAATGAGTGTGGAGAATGTATTTAAATATGAATGAGTTTTCTTACCTTATGCTGCCTTATTAGGGTGGGGCTAATTTTTCAAAATTTTTTGGGGACACGTATTCTCATGTGGAAAATGATTACTAGGGCCAAATGAACAACATATCCAAAAAGGAGCGTTTTTCGTTAAGATTTAGAGGCCTAAGTCCAATGTATCGAACGAAGCTGATTTTCGAACAAGTCTAGTGCGTTTTTAAGTAAAGTATTCGTCATAGTGAGGTCATGTTCGAGAATTGGATTTTATGGATTAATACATTTTCAAACAAATATATTGAATACATTTAATAAATCTCTCTCTCTCTATCTTTTAATCACTCTTTTGCTGAACTGCAGCATACAAGTCATTACAATTTCATGCACGGAAACTTTGTAGTTTCTGAGATTCAAGGCGCCAAAAAATCGAAGTGGTAAGGCAAAATAAACAAAATAGCGGCCATTTGTGGATTCCATCAACTTTCACCTTAAGAAGATAATTACCCCGAGTATTACCCAGCAACAACATATTTAACAATTTAAAAAACAAAAACAAAACAACAAGTCAAAAAAAAAACAAATGAAATTAAACGAAAAAAAAACCTCATCCCGAATTTGATAAGACATTTTCTTGTTCATTAGAAACGACTGTTTCATATATTTCTTCCATCTCTATTTTTTTCCGACAGATCTTCGCTTTCTTGCATGAAGTCCTCTGAGAGTAACATTTCCAATGTTTCTGTTGTCAAAACCCTTGACTTTTTTTCGAGGGATTTTTATTAATCCTAAAAGAATATTTATTGTCTTTCACGTATGATAACCCTTACGTTGTTTACCTGTGATTTCAGGATCAGAAATAAGCAGCAGTCTTTTCAGTACATCCATGTCGTATAGCTTCTTCTGACAACTGCCCTATTGGTAGCAGTGCATGTTGTATAACTGTGAATTAAAATTATATGCAGAATTGGAGTCATCGGATACCATGGATACAGTCGAACGTATGTCTCCGCTGTTTCTTGAGTAAAAGTTTGAATTCCGTATCAATTTTAAAACCACTAGCTAGTGTCTCCAATACTAATTTAAAGCCGGTAGATCAAATTAAAATCAAAGCTGTTATTTGAGCAGCGGTTTCCGGATCAGCAAAGAATCTTAGACTAGTGTTGCCATCCGAATTTCCAAAGCCTGGTTTTGGAAAATCCACAAGGAGTCCCTATTTCTTTCTGAAGTTTTCTTGAATCAGATAACCGCCATTTTTTGATCGGAAACTTGTAAGAACGATGTAAAATTGTCTCGAAAATAAGAATCCTGGCATGAAAAACGGATAATCCGAATTTAAGATAATCTGTGTTAATTTCCTTTTGAACACCAAGATTATTGAATTCCTTTGAACTTGCGCCACATACATAATATTTCATCGTTGATGTCGTTTCAGCTGCTGCATTACACACTTTCCCATCAACCATAGTGAGCATAAAAGTATGTCTAATAGTGAACTGCTTGCCATTTAATGTAACCTTTGTTGACCGTAGCGAATTAATTGCTAATGTGGATTGGGCGACAGTAGCGAGGTGAAGATGGAGTTGGGTTTTCCACAAACTATTCTCAACTGTGGAACACACTTGTATCAGAATTCATATCCACACGCATCTGATGGAATTATGAAACAAGAAAAATATACCTAAAAGGCAACCCCCCCCCCTTCCCCCTCCCACAACAAGGGCTTGACCGCCTAGATTGCCGCCTTAACCGCCATATAATGAATGAAAATGTCAATAACTGCATTTGTGTACTTTTTTTGATAAATCCACCTATATGGACACGCCATCTTCATTTTCCAATTTCTCGAAAGATCGCAAATAATCGCAGCTGATTTTTTGCTATTATCTTCTATACATATGTACATATAATGCCTCATATACGGCTTTACAGGATATTACAGGATAAGTTAACTTTTTTATCACGATACATTTATTTTATAGTTTAAATAGCACTTGTAGACAAGATTTTCATAAACTGCCTCTACGAAGTCAAAACTAAGTGAAATCAGCTGATGTCATGTGGAATACATATTTAAATGCCTGCTTGATCACTATCCATTTTTGCAAATTAATGTGATTATCCCAACAACAAGTAGATACACGAAAACAATGGCACTACGGAACGATTTTTTTCTAACAAACCAACACGATTCAACAACAGGCAAGTTTGAACTGATGCCACAACGCGGTCAGTTTAGAAAAAGAGATAATGAGTACAGGGCAATGTTACCATATCTCTGAAGTAAACAATGCATGCATTCAGAATCTTTTTTTTTTTCCTTTATTTAACGTCGGTCTCTGTTCCGCAATCTAGTGCCAATCACCGACGGACATCGATTGCCATCCATTGACGGCAATCGAATGTGCAGGAAGGCAGCTTCCACACCTGCGTAGGATATCGCACCCATTCAACACACATGGGCCGGGACCAACGGCTTTACTTCTCTTCCGAAGGAAGACGTGACCAGAGATTTTTATGCCTCAGAAAAATCCCACCGACCTCGGCTGGGATTGAACCCAGACATTCAGAATCTGTTTTGGCTTATTTTGAGAAATGGACTTTTGGCCAGCTAGCGTAGAACAAATACCCCTCCGTGCGACGGTTTGCTAATGTTTCACCCATATTGGAACAAAACAAAATTCTTAAGAAATAACCAAGTCCCCGTTCTGAAAATACTCATATTGTAGGGTATTTGTCAATCTACTTTCATATTATGCGTTAAAACTATGGATTTCGATGTGAAAAATCGAGTCAGTTTGCATATCAGTCCCATCCTGAAATTCAATCGTCCATAGTTCAAGTTAAAATTCTGCTTTTCGAATTTTCATATTTTCCGCTGATATAACAAAACATGCAAATTTAATTGCAACTGATTTCAACTTGAAAAATATAACACAAAATTAACTATTATTTTTCAAATATAAGCATAGGAATTGCGCTTCGTAACTTTGACTGCCATTTTCTCCATGCTTACTTTTTTCCATATGGGACTGATATGCGATTATAGGCAGTACACGTTGTCCCCGTTCGGATAATACCCATTTTATGGAACTTTTCATTTTTTCCTTCTGAAACTGATGGCTGCCATCTTGGATTCCAAAATGACGGAGGATATTTAATTTTGACATCTCCATGTCGTCCTCGTTTCGATAAAACCCTTTATTGTGGGGTATTTGACAATTTTGTTTTCTAATATCGATTTTAATTCTACAGAGAGACGACGAGCTGAAACACTCTTAGAAATAACTATTTTTACACGAGACGTTCACTTGAAAATTATTTATTTATTTATTTCTGCATCAACAGGCTCGTGGCCCCAATGATGGTTACTTTACACTACTGACTGTCATATACACAATAAAATATATTGTAAAATCTAAAAACTACATTTTACGATTTGTTCTCCAAGAAAATAGATTTTCGTCGCAGTTACTCACGTGACATGTGAAAGTCAAACACGGATGCAATTCGGTTGAATCATCTTTGAAGACTGATGATAGCGCTATGCAAGCCGTAATTAGTTCTAGTAAGTGGCAATCGAAGCATCTGGACCTAGGCTGCACATTGATGTTTATTTGTTCCAATAAAGCTGGGCAATCAACTCGATTCTGCAGAACATCAGCGACAAACATAGCTCTTAGAGTGTCACGACGAGTGTTGAGAGGTTCTAGGTGTATCAATGAACAACGTTCCTCATAGGAGGCAAATTAAAAGGATTACGCCACGGTAATCACCGAAGTGCGTAGCGAATGAATCTGCGTTAAACTGACTCGATTCGCTAAACTCCACTATGATAAAAAGGGTTCCAAACAGCTGCACCATATTCTAATGAACATCGTACTAGGCAACAGTATAACGATTTAAGGCAGTACACGTCGCGTCAGTGAAATACTTAGCTATCCTAAAGATAAACCCCAAAGATCTGGAGGCTTTTTCTACCATGAATGAAATGTGCTGTTTGAACGTCAGTTGTGAGTCCAAGATAATACCCAGGTCCTTCACGTGACTTACTCGTTCAATTGAATTATCCAGGAGTGTGTAATTGAACTTTAAGGGCAAGAGAAGGTGATTATCGAGCATTTGTTAGGTTTTACTGTCATGCGGTTCAAGTCACACCAGTCACTGAATCTATCAATCTGATTTTGTAGAAACATTGCGTCAACATGCTTTTGAATCTTGAGAAAAATCTTAAGATCATCAGCGCATGACAAAGGAGGTGTGCCTAGCACAAAGTTGCTGTTTTAATGAATTGAATTACTGATTGTTAATCGTGTAATTTTATATTCAAAAACCTGCTTCATTGCAATCAAATGAGCTTAAATTTGGGGAGATTGATCAGGACCTGATTTAGAACCGTTTAAGCTTCTGGAGCATAATCGAACCACCCTAACATGTAGTCTACACTGGTTGACGAAATAAATTAACTGGAAAAATAATGTTAAGATTGACTATCATACACTCAAATACATTCAACTATACTATACGTATCCGATGTCTTGAAAATTGCAACTAGGCTTTTCAGATTATACTGCAGGACATTTTCACATCCATTAAAAAACCACAAAACTATTTGACGTAATTTAATTCCTTGAAACTACTCTAATTGGTATTCCTCCTTCCGGTCGTAGCACCAGATCGGTCTTAAATCGAATACTGGGAACCTTTGCGCCAGGAAGTACGTGATAGTGAGCAACCAACCGAATAATGGCCACTTTCAGCTCCATCAAGGCATACCTTTGACCGATACAATTCCGAGACCCGACGCTGAATGGAATATAATCATAGGGACCGCGCAAGTTCTCTGCATCCTCAGCAAACCGTTCCGGATCAAATCGTTCTGGATCTGGATAGACTTTTGGATTGCGATGTACCATGTAGATGGGAACTGTGACATCAACTCCGGCTGGAATAATCGTCCCATTGATTTCCGTAGCTTCCACCAGCTTACGACCGATGAACGATACAGGGGGCAACAACCGTAAGGATTCCTTTACTATCATGTCCAGATATTTGAAGTCTTGAATGTTGTTATAAGTAAGAGGGGTGGTCTTGCAATCATGCCTGCCCAAAACGGAAAGGGTTTCTTGGTAGAGCTTCTCCTGAATATCTTGATGTTTCGCTAATTGCAAAATTGTAAATGCTATTCCGGAGGTCGTAGTGTCGTGACCTTCAAACATAAACGTGTCCACTTCTTCGCGGATATCCACATTGCTCAAAGGTTTCCCATCGACGGTGACATTTAAAAGCAAATCCAAGAAAGTTTGCTTCCGCTTTGCATACATGTCTGCTTCGTTTAGGTCAAACTCAACCACTCTGAGCTGGTGCTCATCTTTGAGTTGCTCTCGCCGCTTCTGTATCACTGAATCGGTAAACTGATGCAGTCGACGAATGAGTTTCCGTTGCTCCCAGGCATTCGGAATCAGATACCAATACAAAATAGGAAATACACTCAACATATGGAAAATTCGGAGCAAAATCAGCTCCGTCATTCTTTTCACATCGCGTACGTAGCGGTTGTCTGGATCACCCTGCGCATTAATTCGAACACCCATCGACGTCTCACAGATGCTATCCAATGCGTACAGCGAGATATAGTCGTAGATATCGAACTCTTCTCCACCTTCGTGCACCTTCAATTTCTCCATCAAAATATTCGCCTCTCGATTGAACACCTCAGCAAATCCTTCCAATATTTTGAAATGAAACGTCGGCGTGATAATCTTTCGCCTTTGGAACCACTTCTCTCCGGATGAAATCAACAATCCCTTGCCAAGCCAAGGTTCGATGAAGTCATAGATCACTGATTTCTGTGTAGCCTTAGCCATAAGTACCTTTTCAATGCCGTTTGAACTGCTCACATTCAACATTATGTCGTTTCCAACTCCCCAGGTCACAATGTCCGGTCCATGATCCTCGTGAAATTGTACCATTCGTTTGAAAATTCCCGGGACGTCTGTTTGAAACTCCAGCATGTTACCCAGCGGAAAAGTTGGCTTCGGACCGGCGAAGAATTTGCTGAATTGATGAATCTTTCTACGTTGCACGTAGAACCGAACGACGGCTACGGTGAGAAGAGCGAAGAAAATCGCAAAACAATACATGTTTACCGATTAATGTGTACCGACTGACTGGCTGACTTAGTTATCTCGGCTTGTAGAAACGATTCGCAGTGCACTGATAAGAAGCAAAGATTTATTAAAACGTTAGTATGGTGCAAGTACTCTCGTCGGCAAATTATGTTCCTACTGGAACTTTTACTCATTGGCGTAACTAGGAGGGGCTAGGGGGCTACATTCCCATCTAATCTAATACAAACGCAGCCAGTACGAGAAAGCATCCTGGAAAATTATTAGGTTAGATAACGTAATCATATCTTTGAAATGACACAAACATCAAAACATTAATCCGGACACCTTCAAATCTAAGAGGAAGAGGAGACAACTGGCTTCTTACTCATTAATCTCTATCTCTATCTACATCTAGATACTATCTCTATCTTACGCACTTCCAATCGGCCAATCACGAGCTGGTTCGCGTTTGACAGAAAAGTGGTTCGTTTTCGTCCCCGTATTGTCTCCTCTTCTCTTAGCTTCAAATCACTGTAACTTTTGAAATATTGCACGTAGGAGTGAAAAATTTCGCTGAGGTATAGCTGGGAGTCATTGATGGAAAAGACTATGAATAGTTTTTTTTTTTTTCTTTGGTTTGTTTTTTTCCGTCGATCTTGTTTTCCATGCTGAGCACCAATGCTACCGACGTGCCAGGAAGGCAGCTCCCACACCTGGACCCTACCTATCGACCCATCAACTCATGGACCGGGGACCAACGGCGGAAGGCGTGATAAGAGATGTTATGCCTCAGAACATCCCGGCGGCGCCGACTGGGATTGAACCCAGGCCTGTTGGGGTGAGAGGTAATCATGCTTACCACTACACCACCAGCGCCGTTATGATTAGTATTTACATTTCATGTTTAGTGTTCAAGATGGCGACGAATCAAAAACACGTGCATGAGTGTATTTTGTACGGACGAAATGCAACTCCCAACTTGTCAATACGGGAACTTGCAAAAAAAAAATGGATTTGCCTAAATCCACTGTTCACGGTGTGCTCAAATCATTTTCGGAACGTTTGACGGTCGAGAGGAAACCGAGAGGTGATAAAAACATAGGACGTGCTGATCCTGTCATGGATCGAAATGTGAAGAGGACATTGAAGTAAAAGCCGAATCTCTCTGTTCGAACGGTGGCTCGTAAAATAGGAATGTCACCTGGTTTTGTACAAAAACCCATACAGCGTTGTGGGCTGAAGTCGTATAAAGTAAAAACAGTTTTAAATCGCAACGACAAACAGAATTTGACAGCAAAATCACGGGCTCGACGTTTGTACTTCAAATATTTGACGAAATGCTCATGCGTTGTTATGGACGATTAAACTTATGTCCTGGGGGATTTCAAGCAGCTTCCAGGGCTGGTTTTCTATTCTGTTATGGTCAAAAGTGCTACAGATGAGTATTTTATTCGAAGAAGGCATCGATTTTTTCCAAAAAAAAATGCTTATTTGGCAAGCAATTTGCACGTGCGGCCGAAAGAGTAATTCTTTCGCCACTACAGGCACAATCAACAAGGAGATTTACCAGAAAGAGTGCCTGCAGAAGCGATTGCTACCCTTCATCAAGAAAACCCTTTGTTCTGGCCCAATTTGCCATCATGCCATTATGCTAAAATTGTGATGGAGCGATACGAAGCAAATCAAGTGAATATTGTTCCAAAAAACCGCAAATCCACCAAGTTTTTCAGAGTTACGTCCAATCGAGAGATATGGGATCTGATGAAGCGGAAGCTTTCTGAAAAGAAACAAGAAATCAAAGATATCAAACACTTCCAACAAATTTAGACAATGGTGGCCTCCACGGTATCTGACGAATCTGTACAAACCCTAATGGATGGAGTTAAGCGCAAAGTTCGAAAGTTTTATGCAAATACCGAATAACTCTGTTTTGACTTAGTGAATGTTTAAATCACATCCCATGAATCTGAAATAAACAACTACAATTGAAATATAATGCGAAATTTGTGTTTTACTTAAGTTTTTATGTGTCCGGATTATTGTGGATGCATACTGTGGTGATACATCTGTTCAATTATCTGTGACCTATGTACAAAGAGATGTCATCGGAAAGATATCAAAAATATATATGCAAAGTTAACCTCTGATCCATCACAAATTTCTGATTTCGGCATCCAGATTCCATCGGATTTGAAGCGGTACCCTTGCTGATACCGAGCAAAGTGGAAGATATGTATTTTTTTTTCTAATTAAAATATATGGAGAACTATAAAAGAAAACATTCATTCCTTGAAGTTGCTGGGTGGCAGCAGTTTCGAGTAAAAGAGACGAACGTATTACCGTTCGTTCTTAAGCTACTGCGCGAGCAAGCAGGATATTTGTTAAGGCACGGCGTAGTTGCCTTGATTTGCGACTTGAAAGGAAAGAAGGTTTATTGCTAAGGCTCATCTACCTCGATCTGCGACCTGAGGACAGGAGCTTTGCGACTGGATAGCAAAGGGAAGTAAACGTTAGATAAAATGAAAGTTGTTGGTAAACAAACGTTAGAAAATTTAAAAAAACGACCAAAACGACAGCAACCTGAGTAATCATTATCAACGAAATCACAACATCAAATTTAGATTTCAATTTGATCTCAGACTTTGGTCGGGTCCCGTACCAAAGAAAGTTTGGCGTTTCCCTCGAGTTCATCTAGTCAGCAAGTTCGAAATAAGAAAGTGAATTCAGTTCGGCGTCTACATGCTATAGATGATGCTAACGTGGACGACAAAGTTGAGTTGGTAGAAATGGTTTCATGCGACAATGACTGCGAAGACCTGGTTTGGGGGAGAGTTGGAGGAGTTTTGATAGAGATGCAGATCGACTCCGGTGTGCAGTCAAATATCATCGACAGTAGAACATGGGAGACAATGATCCGAAATGCAGTACCGATTATCAGGCAGAGTAAACACAATTCCGGGCCTACGCGCAGGATTGCCTTGTCGTGACCGATATGTTCAACGCCGAAATTGTCATTAATGACGGCAACAAACAGTTGAAAACTGTGGCTTGTTTCTATGTATTTAGTAGAAGGAGGTCCAAAACCGTTATTAGGTAAGAAGACAGCGAAAGAGCTTGGAGTGTTGATCGTTGGATTGCCAAGTCGACAAGAAATGGATCATTAAGTTGAAGTAGTGAGACCATTTCCTAGTATTCGGGGAGCCAAGATCCACATCCCGGTTGATAGATCTGTACAACCAGTAGTTCAACGACTGCGGCGATTGCCGTTTGCAACACTGGAGAAAGTTGACGAAAAACTCAAAGAGCTTCTGGCTAAGGACATAATCGAGAGAGCATCTGAACCAAGTCGTTGGGTGTCACCGATGGTAATCGTCATCAAGGACAACGGTGACATCAGGCTGTGCATTGACATGTGACAAGTTAATAAGTCCTCGCTGGAAGTCGAATGAAGCAGTTTATTTTCTCGTTTGTACATTAGGGATGCTTTCTACCAACTGGAATTGGATGAGGAAAGCAAGCCGTTAACCACTTTTATTACCCACCCTTGTTATCAGTTATTTGCGTGCGACTGATTTTTTTTTCATAACCATTGTTAAAATTAATCAACTGCATGTGTTTATACGACTGTTTTAGCTTATAAAAAGCATTATGTTTAATCACTAGGTGTGTTTCGATACAAACGCATGCTTTTCGGAATATCTTGTGCGCCGGAGATGTTCCAGAAGGTCATCGAGCAGATTGTGTCCGATTGTCCGAATGCAATAAACTTGATCGATTATATCATCATAGTTGGGAAGTCCGAAGAGGAGCATGATAAGAGCCTTCGTTTCGTGATTATTTGCATGCGAGATGCAAATTGCTTCAGAATACCACTACATGATCGACGCAACACTTGGTTCAGTTCGTTATCAGTTTGATTGTACCGACTACACACATTCTTACTACCGAGTGGGAGAATCAACCACAGCTTAACCGTTGATTGCAATACATTCGCGTGGGGATACTCTCGAGAAACTCATTCCTAGGGGCATTTGCATGAGAGCGGGAGATATGAGCACCGATCGATGGCTACCTACTAGATGAGGCGACGATCTACAACGAGGGAGATTGACCGACCAGTGTTGCTTCACCATCTCATCGAGACCGGTCACTAACCCAGAACAATATATTGCTTGTTTTGTAACTAGTTTATTGAGTTCAATGTAGTGTTTTAAGAATAAAAAGTTACTTTTAATGTTAATGTCGTGTGAATAAATGTTCGGTGCAAGTGTTTTAAAATAAACTAAGTGATTAACGCCATCGTGGGCGAGGAAGATGAGCAACGAGCGTTGGTAAAATGAGGTGAGAAGTCTTCCGCTGTTCTCCACTGCTACATCTGGTCCTTCGAGCCGGATGGTCGTCGACCCGATTCCGACCACCCGGAGAAACTACGGCAAATGACACCATCGCCATTCCTGCATGTACACCTGAATAGAGGATATCGCCATCATACTTACCACCCATTCGCCATCATCCGACGTCCCATAGTGGAGGGAGCTACTGATCAAATTCAATACAAGGCATTGAAATTTGATTGAATAGGTGAGTGGTATGCCAATCACTTTACGTTCTCATCGCATGTCTACCGGGTCTTTCCGTTGCTTGCATGTTCATATCGTCGACGAGATCTTCCTCTGATCCACAACTACGGCTGTGTGAACCTCCGGCCGGCATCCCCGGAGTGATTAATCGAGATTGAAGTCCTTCATGGATCGCAGTGACCTATTGTTGTGCAAGCAAGTAGCCATTGCCCTTTGGAACACTAGCACCATTGGCATCGAGAAGCCATACTTCACGCTACCATTTTGGTGAGATTTAGCAGCTATTTCTGTGTGTTTTCCTGCTCTGTTGGTTTACGCGGACACAGACACGTGGACGATTCGAGGAAGTTCTAACCTTGTGACGTCACCATCATTGATGGTCCTGGCTTCATTCAACGACGCAGAGTAGTTCGAGAGAAGGAGCATTTCAATAAATACAAGGCAAATAATTGCCTTCTAGAAGGTAACTACCGCTCC